TATATTCATTCTCAGTATCTTCGGATTCGTCTTTCCCAGTCTACTAGATATTCCGACGCCTTAGTAACAGAAATCGACGTGATCACTTCAGTGCGCCGCGTAGGACACCGGTGACCTACATAGCAGTTAAAGGGTTGAATAAATAAATATATTGTACTATACAGGCTTAATATTTATTTGAGCTTCGAACGTGAATTTTGATCAAACTAACACGCTATCTTCTACTCAGAAGTCGAAGACCTAATTCTCATTCTAATAGCTAAAGAGAACTGGAGAGAGAACGACTCTGGATTTTCATGATCTCATGATTATTGCATTAGAATACGCCATGAATACAAATATCTTATTGATCACAGAACAATTGAAACTTAAATTTTTTTATCGGTAAGAAAATTACAAATCTATATTTTATTTTCATTCTTTTTTTTTTGTACACGTTATCACTAAATTATAAATACAGTCAAACCTGGATAAGCGAGAGTTCAAGGGAGCACAATCTCATTCTCGCTTATAGAGGTTTCTCACTAACCCGAGTTTCGCTAATGCTCCCTCTGAATTTCATTTCGCGATTTTCCGGATTCAAACGCATTCACTATTTTAAGTTTATCACTTAATGACAGTACTTTCATTTTCCGTTTTGACATGATGCAGAACAAAACTTTCCTTCGCAATTGATTAACGATAAACTGAGTAAGTCCGACAAACAGGACGGTACACAGGCACACGTGTCTATTCGAAAAGAATGCGATAAAATAACAGCGTAATTTAGTTCCACGAAATAGAATAGGTTCAATATTGACGAGAAAAAAATACAAAAACAATGGTAGGAAGTTCCACAAAAGTTAAGAATGAGTCATAAAATATCAGATGTTAAATTTGTAATTTGTTTTGTCACTTGTTTCTGCTAAATAATATAAATAAATAAAGCTCGACTGTCGCTTATAGAGGTATAGATAAGTAGCAGTCTCACTTATGGAGGTCCATGAGGGAAAAACGACTCTCTCTTATCAAGGTTTCTGTTTCTCGCTAATAGAGGTTTTGGGAGCTTAAAATGACGGGTCCTGGCTATTACTCTCACTTATAGAGTTTTCTCACTTATCCAGTTCTCACTTACCCAAGTTTGACTGTATGTACCTAAATATGTATATATGTATTCTCTGAGGGAAAGTGAGGAAAATTATTACGAAATAAAACAAAAACACGTTAAATAAAAATGAAACGGTTTATTTACGTAAATTACAAGAAAATAATAATCTTTGGTAAATAATAATTGAACAAAAGAAAAAACACACACGAAAATGTGTACTTAAAAACAAAAGGCAGTCTTAATTTATTTGGTTCGAATTGGGGAAATACAAAAATGTCATCCGATAAAAAGAAAAAGGTAAAAATTCTAAAAAAAAAACAATAATAAAGCAAAGAAAAAAAAAATGCCCTAAAACTTTTTTAATTTTATTATCTATAATTTATCTATTATTAACACGCTTTTATTAGCTCGGTATGTATGTTTGTTTGTGTAGAACAAAATCTTTGAACGTCATTTCCATCGACTTCAGATTAATTCGAAAATTAGCACACGCGTCAAGGACCGCTGACTATACAATATATTTAGAACTTTGCTATGTGTGCTTAGTGCGAGTTTTTAACGCTCTCGATAGCGTAAGAGTTAACTCTTTGTACGGCGTTGGAACAGCGCCCCTAGCGGCAAACGTAGGCAAGCGTTCCAACTCCATACAAAGTTTAGTTAACTTTACTAGCAAATAGTTTATACGACGCATTGAATTTCTGCGCCAAATAAAGTGGCAAGCGAGATACACCTCTCGAGTGCAAAGGCTTAATGGAATTTTCGAGAATCATACCGTCGCTTGTTGACTTGAATACCGTGAGTGATAAACGCGAAATTAAAACCGTAAGCCGCAGTCTAGACCAGGGCTCTCAAACTGCGATACTTTAAGACTAATATATTTTTTGTATAGCAACTAGCGACATCTTGTAGCGGATGCCTCTAAACTTATATGTTTTTAAAGTTAAGGCATTTAATTATTGTACAACTAAACACAGAAAGTAAAAAATTTATAAATCATACAAGTATTTATTTGTTAGAGACAAATTGATAAAATTTTATCAATTAGTGGTTTCTGAAAATTTACAAAATCCTTCATTAAAAATAAAATATAGGATAGATAATAATATGTTATTTCAATCTACAGGAGCAATGAGAAACTAATCGAAGCGTAGCCATCTAGTGGCCGACGCCCGTAAACATATTGTTGAGTGCTTGAGTCGCTTATCTATAACTAATGTATGTGTATTATCTATGGTCTAGACGACCAATTATATTTCACAATATTGCATAATTAGCAATATTATTGACTGTTTTAAGTTAATATTTAAGATTGCGCAATTATTGAACGAAAGTTTGAGCTAGTTTCATTTTTATTGCACCATATTTTTTCATTGCATCATGCAGTATGGCGCAACATTTTTCAGTCTGTGGTTCGTCTTGACAGCGTCTGTACACGCATCACCATAACACGAAAACATTATGCAGTTTGTATTATTGTGCAATATAATTGATCGTTAATCAATTTTTCTTTCAATCAAATTTCAATGTTAATATTGTAGGTAAAACTGGTTTCAATCACATTCTTGATGTAAAATGTCAAATTGACTAAATAAAATATAAAGAAATACAGTACACGACGCTAAATATTGCTCTTCGATCTTTAGAAACAGAGAGAGAGATAACGCTATATGAAGCCGAGACTGTCTCTTACCAAAAGTCGATGTGCAACATTTAACGGCAGGTACTGTAAGTTTGTTGTTGCCTTCACTTAGATCACGTAAAATATTATAAGCAGACATAGAAGTCAGTTGCTTCTCTCTGTGCTGGTATTAATCAAACAACAAATATATTTTTTCTCCGGAACAAAAAAAAACTCGCGGCCCGATGAATTCAACGCGGCTTACCTTAAACATACCTCAGACCCAAAGCCGTGAGGGAATCAGCTAATAGAAAAAATCAACAAACATTTTAACTTCATCAACGCTTCTAAAATTTATAAGCAACGAAGTTAGACGCTCACGGAGCATCAACAATTATGTACAATTAAAACTATACTCCCAACTTCATTCACAATTCTAATAATAAATACATCTAGTGCTAGCTTCAACGTTTAACCACGGTACAGTCCGCGACGTTAATGTTCGCACATCGCAATCAGGCCCGGCGGTCGAACGAGCCATTTTGTGTGAAAACACGAAATGTAGCGTCACGATGAAAAAAGACGGATGCTTTTTACATTTTAAGTGTCAAATTTAAGATAAGGGAAGATGACGAATTGCCTATACCTTGTTACTGTGCGACAATCAAGCCTTGAATACAGTACCGAAAGATTTTAATATCTTGCAACGCTAATTCGTCAATCATAGTAGTTCAATAGAAAACCAAGTTCTCATATGCTGATAGCCTTAAGAGGCTATATCAGCGTTGCCCTAGCGTGTAGGTGAGCTATCGGGGCTTAAGCCGGAGGTCTTGGTAACACTGGCCACTAGCAACAGCAGTGCTTCGCAGAATCTACCACCGGATTGGCGACCCACTGAGAAGATCCGACGAGTAACTCAGTGGGCTGTGTCTATGGGATAATTTACTCGCCGATCCCTTCGTCGCAAGCGACGGGTTCGGCGAGAACTGTGACCGGTGCTTGAGGTACCTAAAAGCGCCGTTTACCTATATATTGGAATCCTTTTTATCAATGTGTATATAGCGATGTACCAATTAGATTTGAGAATAAAGAAATCTTTAACTGAAAATACAGGAGTTGGGTTTTTTTTTTATTCGCGAATAATGAAAACGCGAATGAAGGAAGCGTTAATCAGGAGCTTTTAACTGTATGACGATGTGCGCTGCTTATTGTCGCGAACTGTATATACTCTCTCAAAGTATAGTCTAGTCTCTTTAATAGACAATTATTTACATAACATCTAATGATACCCTAATTTTTGCAGACGAATAATATTTTTACAATCACTTTTACGATTTGATATCACGTTTTTTTTTGTTTTTAATTTTTTACACTTTCCAAAAACCGTACCTAGTAGCGTTTGCTCCGTCGAAAGTTACATAAAAATATAGTTTGTCTGTAAAGTCGGTGTACGGACGATAGTATTACTTGATAACGTCATAAAGAAACATTGATGAAAAATTGTATACTTTTATGAATTTCATTGAATTATTATCACTGAATTATCATTATTTTGTTTAATACAATGGAATTAATTGAATTTTATTTTTTCGATATATTAACGCTTGGGCCGATCGTGTCTCTCTATCGCTCGCTCCGCGCTCTCGCTCGCACGCTCAGGGTCAGACGGAACGTGACACTTTTTCGTGCGTGCAGCCGGCCTTCATCGATTTACATGACGTTATCTGTTATCCGTTATTTGTTAACAAGATAAACTGTCTGACTTCCAACGAAAGAAAATCAACAGTGTAGTTAATTGAAGCCAACTAAATATACATTGAGGGTAATTCAAAAACTACTGGTTTTATCTTGAAATGGACTTTTTGGCAGGAACGCGAGGAGTGAAGTTGTGTGATTTGTTTTATTTTGTCTATTTAGTGTTTCTTCGGGTTTAAATGTGTAATAATGGTGGTTTATTAACTGTTTAATATCTGTGAAAGTGTACAAATGTGGGAAAATGAAATAAAGAAGCTGGACGTAACTTCTCGGGATCCTCCAAAAAGTCCACTGAAAAATCTTAGTAAATGACCACCATTTTACTGAGATTATATTTCATCCCGTATCATCTCATTTCATTTCACTCCATATTATCATTTTTCATAAAAATATGAATATAAATTAAAATAAGCATGACTTAAAGGTCTGTTTCCAGGTCATAAAATCCCTTAAAAAATTTATCTTGAAATAATTTTAATGGGACCACACGATAGGCACCATCTTTCAAATAAATTAAAAAACAGAACATCATCATCATCAATATAAATTCACCCAGAGAAACGCTCTGAGGTAGAGCACACATTAAAAAAAGCAGCTGAACTCAGAACCTCTCTTTTTTGTTTATGTCGGTTATAACGTCATATTAAACCGTAAAAGTACACCGTCGCGATAATGACCTAAGAAATACCAGAATACGACTTTTATTTTATTTATATAAATATATTTGTTTAAATATATGTTCAAATATTTAAAGACGACCAAAAAGCTTTTGGCGGCTTCCTTGAAGTCGAGCCGATCTTTGGTATATTCTTAAAACTAATTAAAATTAGACTCTATTCACATTGACGTAACGTTTAGTTTCCAACGCTGGGTCGCGTCACTCGCCTATACCTGAAGCGCCCAACCTCACAGGATGAGTCAGAGAGCAGACTTCAAATTAGACACGACCTTCAGATATGAAGATACCGACACGAAGGGAAAAGAATTTCCAATATAACACGAGATCCATCTAACGTCAGCAGACGAAGCAGCTTCCCTTTAGACCAGTACTTAGGAGCAGGTCGAGGGTTTTTGAAAGAATTTTAAATAATGTCAGTAGCATCTAACCAATCTAATTCCCCAAAATGTAACTTTAATGACTTCGCGGCTGAACTAGACTGGGTGGTGGTTCATACCCGTGTGAGCTCAATACAGTCTTCCACCACCATAGCGATCAATACTAATACTCACTACGAAACACTCCCTCAACGAGGCCTCAATATACGACCTTATCATAAAAGGAATGCAATGCGAATTAGAGAGGGTAGTTCCCTGTTTGCACGAGGTCAACGACCCCGCGTATCAATTAATTTCTAAATGCAATGCAATTTTTTTTTTGCGTGAATAAAATTATTAACAATATCAACATTGTTTCATGCGCAGTCTTTAATTATAATTTCAGGATTCCATTGCACTCTACATATAAATAACATAACTTTCATTGGATTTAAAACTAGCCCGGGTGGGTATTGGAACTTTTTCATGGAGACTCAACTTCGAGTCTAGATATACTAAATCTATCTTAGCCTCTCTCTAAACTGGATCTAGACAGAAATCTGCTCCTAATCTACCCGCAGTTTTCAGTCTAGCAGTGAACATGGCTTAATGACACTAAAAATCGCCACAAGAAACATTTAAATATAGCCGCAGCCAAAATTTCGTTCGATCTGGATAACTGTGGTGATTCAAGTTCGCTGGCTCGAACGACAGATGGCGCTGGAGTGCTTGCAACAACCTGTTGGGATTGATTTAGGATCACCCCATAGAAATTATTCGTCAGCAAAGCCGATTTAAACAAAGATCCCAATTTCATCATAGACGGATGCTTTTGTCACAGCAGTCATGATCATGTGGAGCTTTAATAAATAATTATTAAAGCCTTGAAAGCTTTTTCTCCATAGTTCGCGAACTGAGACCTGGCACACGCAGTCGTTAAGTGGGGTTTTGGGTGAGGATATTCACTTGATCAGTCCAGCGCATGGGGCTGGCTCCCCATGGGGATCCCAAATTACGATACCACATATTTGGGTTCCTCACACGAACATAGATTTCTCTGACACAATTGATTCTTTATGTGGCCGTCGCCTCCTTCCGCGCCGTGAACGATACAATCGAACGAATCCCTTTGACTGAAGTCTGAAAAGAAAAGAAAAAATATATATATTTATATATATATTAGAACTTCCATCCCCCTTAACAGCTGGGGGGATGAATAGATTGGCTATAGCGTCCAATTTGAGAAAACCTCCGATAGCTAACTGACTTAACTCAACCAAACAAGGTTTTAAATTAGCATTTTTTATCACCAGGCAAAAACTAGAAATAGGAAAAAACTAGTGATAGGATTTGAAAGTATGAAGTTTCCCACACTTATAGAGAATATAGAGGAGTGCAAAATGCTAATATTTTTTATTTTATTATGCATAATTGCATACAGGAAATCAATTAAAAAACATTACACACACTACGATGTATTTGACAAACACACACGCATAATCTTTTGTTTATTATCAAACTTTTGTTATTGTTCAAAGTCTGTAATCAAATTGACAATAGATTAATATTTTATTTGTCTCTATACCTGTGATTATAGAAATATAATAATAGACTTTGACAACAGAATCATAATATTGTTCAAACTTTTCAAGTCGTCGTGGCCTAAAGGATAAGACGTCCGGTGCATTTGTATGTAGCGATGCACCGGTGTTCGTATCCCGCAGGCGGGTACCAATTTTTCTAATGAAATACGTACTCAACAAATGTTCACGATTGACTTCCACGGTGTAGGAATAACATCGTGTAATAAAAACGAAATCCGCAAAATTATAATTTGCGTAATCGCTGGTGGTAGGACCTCTTGTGAGCCCGCGCGGGTAGGTACCACCGCCCTACCTATTTCTGCCGTGAAGCAGTAATGCGTTTCGGTCTGAAAGGTAGGCCAGCCGTTGTAACGCATTTACGTTGTAAATGTCTATGGGCTCCAGTAAGCACTTAACAACAGGTGGGCTGTGAGCTCGTCCATCCATCTAAGCAATAAAAAAAAAATAAAAATAAAAAATTATGGTCCAAGTTCGACTACTGCGGGACCACTAATAAGAATGAAATTACATACCTTCTTCTTGGAGCCATTCATGTACTCCTTGTACATTTCCGATCGGATGTATCTCGAGTAGCTATCGGACTTCATTAGGTGATACACGTGAGCCTGCCGACAAAGGAACCTTGGTAACTTATTATCTTGATCCAATTGAAGCCATCTTTGGCCATCAGACCAGTTGATCAAAAGGACACAATTAAACATATTATCTTGATCGAATTGAAGTCATATTTGGTCATCATGCCAACCATACTTGCTTTAATAATTGCTTACGAAAAATATTTTTTACTGGTGGTAGGTAGTAAGTACCTCTTGTGAGTCCGCGCGGGTGGGTTACATAGATGGGTGGACTGCCCCACCCTTCAAACCGAAACGCATTACTGCTTCACGGCAGAAATAGGCAGGGTGGTGATACCTACCCGTGTAGACTCACAAGAGGTTCTACCACCAGTAAAATCTGTGTTTTTGATGTCCACGAGACACGGCGGCCACTTACTAGCCGGCGGGCGGTGTGCTAGTCTGCCATCCACAATGACAATAAACATGTTATTGGACGTCACGAACCTGCGCCTGATCGAAGCAGTACCGGTCAGCCGTGCCCGACTCGACCTGCACGCGGGTCAGTTCCCTGGAACACGAACATTACACGGGAATTATCGACACGAGAACCCTCTCATCGTGGCCGCCGGTAACTACATTCCCGATCCTGCGGACAGAATGGAAATAGCAGTCGAGGTCGCCCCAAACACGTCATTTCGGATCCTCCCGATCCACTAACGGTGCTTTTAAGTACCTCAAGCACCGGTCACCGTCCTCGTCGAACCCGTCCCTTGCGACGAAGGGCTCGACGACTAAATTAACCCACAGACACAGCCCACTGAGTTTCTCGCCGGATCTTCTCAGTGGGTCGCGTTTCCGATCCGCTGGTAGATTCTGCGAAGCACGGCTCTTGCTAGGGTTCGTGTTAGCAACGTCATCAGGTTTGAGCCCCGTGAGCTCACCTACTAGTTAAGGCGACGCTGATACAGCCTCTCAAGGCTATCAGCCTAGGTAGGAAAAAAAAAACGGGAATTATAAATAAATAAATGATCTCATAGGAATTGTTAATCACGCGGACGGAGGAGTATGAAATTTACCACACTTATAGAGAATATAGAGAAGGAGTGCAGAATGCGATTTTTTTTTAAATTATGCATTAAAAATACATTAAGTAAAAAAAAAACATTACACACACTACCATATATTTGACACACACACTGGCATTTATACTGTTTTGTTGAATTTCTGTGGTCAAATTGAAAATAGATTAATATAGTTTATCTTAATATTATTTGTGTAGAGTGTAGTCTTGGCAAAATCTGTGATTATAGAAGTACAATAAATACATAGTCTTTGACAATAGAATCATAATAGTTGTCAAAAGTATAACTTTAATTAACTATAGTCGAATATCGACTACCAGGGGACACTAGTATAAATTAAAATAAAACATGACTTAAAGGTCTTAGTTACCAGGGCATAAAATCCCTAAAAAAATAGACTAAATATTCTTTGTCATTATTAATATTTGCCTAAAGTGTAGTCATGGCGAAATCTGTGATTATATTATAGAAGTATATAATAATAGTCTTTGATAGCCGACTTAACCTAATAGGTGTATGGCTCTAATAAAGAATAAAAACAGAAAAAATAGTCTTTGACAATAGAATCATAACAGTGTACATACGAACTTATAGTTTCAATTAATTTATAGTCGAATTTCGACTATCGGGGGACCACTAGTTCTTTTTTTTCCCCTTGTAGGCAGACGAGCATACGACCCGCCTGATACTGAGTGGTTACCATCGCCCATGGACTTCAGCAATGCCAGGGGCAGAGCCAACCCGCTGCCTACCGAGAGTTCAAATGCATACCTGCTGGCCGCGTCGATGTTGATGGGCGAGGGCGCGTCCGCGGCGAGGAACTCCTTCCAGATGTCGCGGGCGCGCGCCGCCACGCAGCGGATGGGCAGCGCCTTCAGGTCCTGCACCGCCAGCCAGAACCTGTCGGCGTCAACTGTATCGTGCGTCATGTTCTCAACTGTACCAAAAATGTTCTCAACTGTACCAAAAATGTTTCTCAACTGTAACCAAATTCATTTTTTTTTTCTACCCAAGTTGATGGTCTTGTGAGATCATTTTAGCGTAACCGTAAGTAAGTAAGGTTAGCTCACGGGGCTCAAACCTGACCAAATAACTAACACTGACCCTAGCAAGAGCAGTGCTTCGCAGAATCTACCACCGGATCAGACACGCGATCCACTGAGACGATCCGGCGAGAAACTCGGTGCCTGAGGGTTAATTTACTCGCCGAGCCCTTCGCCACAAGCGACGGGTTCGGCGAGGACGGTGACCGGTGCTTGGAGTACTTAAAGGCGACGTTAATGGATCGGGAGGATCCGAAATGACGTGTTGTAATGTCGGAGACGGTCATTAGTTTGGTAGCAAAACGAAGAGCAGCACTATTCCCGAGAGATGACAACAAATGTAATGTCGTCGGAATTCGGCTAACTTCGTACTACGACAGAGCCTAGCCGATGAAGGAGACGCATAGACGCCATTTTACGCTCACCAACCAGCCTTCTTGAAGAGCGGTGCCTCCATCCTAAGAACTGTCATCTTATCAACAACATTTACTGGTGGTAGGACCTCTTGTGAGTCCGCACGGGTAGGTAGCTCCACCCTGCCTATTTCAGTCGTGAAGTAGTAATGCGCTTTGGTTTGAAGGGTGGGGCAGCCGTTGTAACTATACATGAGACCTTAGAACTTTATCTCGAGGTAGGTGGCGCATTTACGTTGTAGATGTCTATGGGCTCCAGTAACTACTTAACATCAGGTGGGCTGTGGGCTCGCCCACCCATCTAAGCAATAAAAAAAAATAAAAAAAACCTTGTTGAGACTTCGACCTCGTTCATGTCTCAAAGTGGGCGGCAGCTTACACGTGATGTCCGTGGACCACAAGTGTATGATACCAAAAAACTTGTCGCATACTTGAGATTCTCGCCGCTGAACTCTTTGGAGAGAAACTTCGCGAAGTGCTCCTTCCCGGCCGGATCCTGCAGCAGCTCGTGCAGCCCGAACGACCAGCGGCGGACCCGCCGCAACGGTAAGGGGTCCTTGCTGAAGCATCAGAAACATTGCCAACGTCTAACAACAGTAGGATATACAAGCCACCACTTAACACCAGGTGGGCTGTGGGCTCGCCCACCCATCTAAGCCATAAAAAAAAAGCAATTATAAACCTTATTAACATTTTTTAAATTCACTTTTATTATCTTCAGACGTATATATGTATGTTTGTAACGAAATCTTTGAATATGATTTTGACCCCCTTCAAAACGTCGGATTAACTCGAAATTTAGTATAGGTACTTATTAAGGACACCGATGACAATTCAATATTTAAAAAAAATTGAAAAAATAATAATTTAAGAACTAAAAAAAGAAAAATAAATAATAGTTTAAAAAACCTAACAAAATACGCTTTTATAGAAAATCCAACTAAAAAATAGAAAATAAATTTTAATAAATTTGAATTAAAAATAGTGTAAGAAAAAATGATTTTATTGTAAAAAAAAAGCGTGGTGTGCTTTTCAGGATATTATCAAAATAACCCTTCTACTCATATCTGTTCTTAAAACATCAATAACGACTTATACCAAGCACCCCACACTATTTTTAATTCAAATTTATTAAAATTTATTTTCTATTTTTTAGTTGGATTTTCTATAGAAGCGTATTTTGTTCGTTTTTTTTCAACTATTATTTTATGGGATTTGTTGGCAGAAGAACATTCGCCCCACCTAATGGTGAGTGGTTACCGTCGCCCATGGACGTCAGCAATGCCAAGAGCCAAGCCTCTGCCTACCGCTTAATACTCTCCACAAGGCTCGTTTGAAGAAGGACATGTCATAACATTCTTGAAACAGCGTGGAGGGGAGCTCATTCCAATGGCCTGATGGTAATCGCCCCGTCTCTGTCACTCACGATTGCTTCTCCTGCTCCCACAGCTCGGTGGTGTAGTTGATCCAGGGGTTGGGCCACTCCGGGGGCGTCAGGAACGCGTCGTACTCCGCATACTGCTCGCAGTACGACACGAACCTGGAAAATGTATTAGTAGAAACGTTTTTATTTGTGTTTTTAGGGGGCGTGCCCATCGAGTGCTTTATTCACTTTTTTTTAAGAGATTTTATGACCTGGTAACTAAGACCTTTAAGTCATGTCTTATATTCTTATATTCTCTTATATTCTTATGTTTATGAAAAATGATGATATGGAGTGAAATGAAATGAAATGAAGATGATTAATTTGTGACATCAATCAACTGGGATGAAATTAAATGAGATACGATGAGATGATATGGGATGAAATATAATCTCAGTAATATGGCAGTCATTTACTGAGGTTTTTTCGGCCAGCGGCTTTGTTTCATTTTCCCACATTTTTGCACTTTTACAGATATTAAACAGTTAATAAACCACTGTTATTACACATTAAAACCTAAAGAAACACTAAATAGACAAAATAAAACAAATCACACAACTTCACTCCTCGCGTTCCCGCCAAAAAGTCCCCTTTATTTACAATATGAATTTGACCACAGACTTTAAACAACAATAAAAGTTTGACAATAAACAAAGAGTATATAATATTAATTGAACTTCAATTAAGTTAATAAATGAAAAGTCAATTTTGCCAGAGACACTGGTAATAAATAAATTTTACACATTTATAGTTTATATAGAGAAGGGGTGCAGAATGTTAATATTATTTTAAATTATGCATAAAAAAATCATTAAATCAATAAATAAAAACATTACACACACTACCATGTATTAGACATACACAGTCATGCATACTATTTGTTTATTCTCAAACTTTTCTTATTGCTTATACTCTGTGGTCAAATTGAGAATAGATGAAATATTTGGCTTTAAAGGACTTTGTTTCCAAGCCTGTAAAATCTATTAAAAAAAGATTAAATATTGTTTGTCTTTATTAATATTTGTCTAAAGTGTAGTCTTGGCGAAATCTGTGATTATAGAAGTATAATAGTCTTTGACAATAGAATTATAATAGTGCACAAACTTATAAATTCCATTAATTAGTCGAATTTCGACTACCGGGGGACCGCTAGTTCAAATAAAAACGCGTAGTGGATTCCATGCGATCGAGGTTGTTGACCCCGAAACATTCTACGCGTTATACATTGCGGGCTCAGAACCGATATCTCATGCAGCTACCGTGAAGGTGACCCATACACGGACATTTTATATCATCGCAGGCAACACCACAGGACTCACGTTTCGGCGACTTTGCTGACCCTAATGTTGCGCCGTTCCATTCTCGCTCGCAACATCCCTAGCTGCTTTCGTGCCGCCTCTATCTCCTGCTCGATGTTCACTGCGGGGTCGGTGGAACCCGACGGAATCTCCTTTGACGATTCCCCTGAAACAAACCGAAGGCCTTATTAATATATATGTGTATTGATTTTACCTTTTATCTCTACTTAGAACCAAGCACATAGGCTCAATGCGTCTTAAGTCATACTTAGTGAGCAAAGATTACAAATCAGCTGTGACGTCATCCGTCCCCTCAACAAATTGATATGTCCGTCTCTTTCACGCTAGACCAGTGGTTCTCAACCGTAGTCTCGCAAGCCCCTACCAAATACGTCGAAGAATTTACAAATACGATAATTTTATTTAATGCGACTTAGAGGATCACATATGTAACGTGCAAATGATTTAAACACACAGCTGTTTCCTAGATATTGACTGAACAATTACGTTTGGTAGAATATAATATGATGTATAATTTAATCATACCTCTACCTACCCTCAATTCAACTAATTTTTTTTTAATGAAGTATGTTTAGTAAAATGTGTTGTGAAAAAGGTTGAGAGCCGCTGTGCTAGACGGTAAGTCCGCACGGGTAGGTACCACTACCCTGCTTATTTCTGCCGTGAAGCATTCATGCGTATCAGTTTGAAGGGTGGAGCAGCTGTTGTACTGTAAAAACTGAGACCTTAAAACTTATATCTTAAGGTGGGTGGCGGCATTGATGATTGATTTCTACGGGCTCCGGAGACCACTTAACGCCAGGTGGGCCGTGAGCTCGTCCACCCGTCTAAGCAATAAAATAAAAAAATACCATTCTCTTTGATGACGTTCTCCTGGTTATTTCTCTGGATCTCATCTTCGCTCTCCTGGGCGTTCGTTATTGTCACGATTGGATTGTTCTGAAAAAGGAAATAATGGTCGTACAGAAACCTTTCCCCAATACGACTAAACGAAAGGCGATTCGAACGCAGCCCGCAATGTATCGCAAAGGCTGCTTAGATCAATGACTTTACTTTACATGCTAAAATGATTCAGGTTTAAGTTTAGCCTATCAAATGTAGATCTTTATTGACAATACTAATATTTTTGGAGCAATTTGTAGAATATCTAGTATTGAACTATTGAGGCTTAATTACATATATCCCTTTATTTGGACTAACCATATTTATAGCTTCCAAGTCATTTTATACGCGACAATTGAGCGCAATGTAAAAACATAAGACAAGAGTTTGCGTGTCAGAAATTACTAGTTCTGCGGCCTGTCTTCGGTCGGTTATACGAACTGGGCTCATAACTCTATTCTTTGAGCTTTTATTGAAGTTGACATACCTTCAAGTTGTTCTGCAGCACCAAGTCCTGACATTGTTTGAGACGTTTAGCTTTAAGCGCATTTATACGAGAAAGCTTCCTCGGATCTAACTCTGTAGTGTTCACGCAACCAGGCTGAAAGCACAGTGAGCTAAGCTTAAAATCTATTTATCTATTACATATTTGAGTTTTCTTTTTATACCGATGCGTTCACCTCTTGATTTTAAGCGTTAATAGAATTTTAACGATATTATTATCTGAAAACTACCCTCTCAACAATATCAGAAATGTTCACCAAGCCTTTATTAACTATATACTGTATTTGTCTATATATACAGTATATCTGAGTCTTTGGAAGTTACTTCTGGCGATTTCACGACGTCAGATTAGCTTGACAGGTTTACACACGCGTCAACAGCCGATCAACTCTGAATGGTATTAGGTATATTTATCGTTGAAGCAATTTAGACTTTAAGACACAGTACATTGACTTCATAAAGCTTTGAACGGAAATTTCCAAGGATAGGGCTCACCATCGGTCGATGCACGTCCCAGAAGGCCCTCTCCTGACTGTCCAGCACCTTCCTCTCCAACTTATCACGTTTCTTGTCAACCTTACAAACAATAACAATGACAATACCCGCTCAAGGTTCAAACTGGACTCGAGCGAAGCCCGTAAAGATTAATACCCATTTAAGGTAATTGGAAGGTAAAATAAAATTAAATTAGTGATTATACTCGAATTTCGACTACTGCGGAACCACTAGTAATAATAAAAAAAACCTTTTGCTCCTACTATTTAGATATACAATTAAGGTTCTTATACTACTGCACTTATGTCGTTGTAACTATACTTTAGACCTTGGAACTTATATTTCAAGGTGGGTGGCGGCATTTACGTCTATGGGCTCCAGTAACCACTTAACACCAAGTGGGATCGTCCACCCATCAATGCAGTAAAAAAAATTTAAAAAACCTTGCTCTGTGCCTCGGCTTGCATGAATATGAATTCCCATTTTCTCGAAAACATCTTCTGGAGTTTCGCTAATGATTCGGCCTCATAGTCCGCCAGCTCTAGCCGCGCCTTGTTCTGCATCGTCCGCTTGCAGAGGTACACCGCTGTAACAAATCATGAGTCGATTATAAAAGGCGGAGACGATGATGTAGACCAGTGTTTCCCAACCTTTTTTGTGCCATGCCCCACTGTAACGTTTTATAAATTTTTATGCCCCGCCCCCACAGTAATGTTTCAAAAGGTATAATAAAAAACTGGAATTCAAATTCAAAACAATTTTAATATAGATTTTCTATATTTAGTGCGATTGCCCCCCTTAATCATCAAATTATCCCCTTGTGGGGCGCGGGCCCCATATTAGGAAACACCGATGTAGACTATCGCCTTGACGATTCCATTTGCCAAGGCATTTCTTCTATCTACCCTTTTGATATTTTCGAACTTCATATGAGGAACTCACACCTAAGGGACGCGCGGGATATGTGGAACTTGACGGCCTGCAGATGTTGGGAGTAGACCCCAAGCTGTTTTTAGAGCCCTACCAACAAAATGTCTCGATCGTTCTGTGAGCGTTCGTCTGCTCCCTACTAGATGGCGTTACTTGTTGTTGCATTGTCACATGAATTAGTTCCGAACCGTCAGTTAGTAATCGGAACTACTCGAAGCGAAACAGCGAACGCATCACCTGAAGCGAAGCGGAAGAAGTAAATTAACAATTTTAAAGTGTTCTAGGTGTTAATACAGTTTTAATTTGTAATTCGGTAGAATTTTTATTTATCCCGAACCCCAGCGCATAACAGTATATAAGTCGATATCTAGTATCCCATAAGACATGGCATCCGTAATTGAGGCCAGTGGAACGTCCGTGATTTGTTCCCAGCTATTTATTATTTATTTATAAGCTAGACCGCTATACAGTAGTGTTCTATTGTATACTAACTGACCCGGCAGACTTCGTAGTGCCTCAAATAAAAAGAATCTGTCCGACGGGGGACACATCAAAGGAAAAACAAAATTGTTCTTTGTATTTAATTCCGAGCATTTTTATATTTATCTACCTTTTAAACCTTCCCTGGGCTTCCACAAATAATTCAAGACCAAAATTAGCCAAATCGGTCCAGCCGTTCTCGAGTTTTAGCGAGACTAACGAACAGCAATTCATTTTTGTATATATATATAGATATAAATTAAAAGCTCTCGTTGTCAGAAAGGATTCATTTGAACGAACTCACCGTAATCAGTATTCTCAGGCTCCCATTGGTTCGAAGGCCAGAAATACGGGGTCTGGAATCTTAAAAAATAAAATAAAATTATATACATACTTTTTTTATTACATTTGAGGGTAGGCTTAAACTTTGGTAACCTATGGGGCTGGTAGGTGACCTCACAGGTCTCTTCTGGGAGAATTTTTTAACGCTGGTCCCCATAAGAACAATGCTTTGCGTAATTACGACCCACTGAGAAGATCCGGCGAGAAACTCAGTGGGCTGTATCTGTGGCTTAGGTTGCACGGTTCACGAACGAGATAGTATAGAGTTCAACTTATAAAGTTGATTTTGAAAACAGATGATTTTATTTTAACAAATCAGATGAGGTCAGTCAACAACCACAAATAACATTAAGATTTTAATAATGACTTATTATAGAGATGTGTATCTCAAGTAAGCTCAAGATGGAAGTCTCAATGTCCAACCCAATAAAATTGGATGCATGAATGCCTTAAGACACACCTGACTGCGTTAGCTACTCACTCAGGCAATGCACCCTGTGCATTGATGGTAGGGAGTTTTGTGAGCCAGCACCGATGGATATCACCACACCAGTCATTTCTACTGCGAAGCAGCAATGCATTCCACTTTGATCATCCATCTTCTATAGTATTATGACTCAGTACACATGTCTCGAGATAAGTGGTGGCATTTACGTTCTTGATGTCTATGGGCTCCAGTTACCGCTTAACAACGGGTGGGCTGTGAGCTCGATCCCGTCTAGGCCATAAAAACCCTACCAGTGTCTAAGAAAGAACTCACCTATAATACGTGTTATCGTTTTTAACGGTCAAACAATGATCGTCTATGGGAAATAAATAGCCGTGGGCAGCCAGAAGATGGGCAAGGTGCAGTGGTTCCCAGGGCTCGTCAAGTTGCAGATGCCTTGCCAGCCACGACACCAGCTCTGCGCCGGTGAACACCTTGAAAAAAAACCGTTGGATCTATGCATGTTCACATTTGATATTACCTTATGTGTTTTATTACCTTTCGTGATTATGACTTTTATTATATTTGACATGTCTAGCAGTGGCTATAATAGACCAGAAGATATTTGACAGACGCCTGAATCATGCTAACGAAATTAATTCTAGATAAGCGTATTATACTATTTAGTGGTGGTAGGACCTCTTGTGAGTCCGCACGGGTAAGTACCCCACCACCCTGCCCATTTCAACCGTGACAGCAGTAATGTGTTTCGGTTTGAAGGGTGGGGCTGCTGTTGTCACTATACTGAGACCTTACAACTCACATCTCAAGGTGGTAGATGTCTATGGCTCCGGTAACCACTTAACAAACTGGTGGACTGTGACCTCGTCCACTCATCAAAGCAATAAAAAAAAACAAAAAAATACACAAGTTTCAAACATTAACATTTGGAAAGTCAGTCTCATGTACAATTTCACCTCCTCAGTGGAACATCTTCTCTTTGTTGTTTCCTAGAAGTCTTTATTATAGCTATCCAAGTATCAATTTGTAACTTACCGATGGAACTTTCGTCATAAAGCTTTTCACAGTTCGAACAGGTACTCCCGTGTTCTCATCTTGCATTTTCTCAATCAAAGCTTCCATCTGTAGTGACATAAAAGAATTATTTATTTTAGATACATACTTAACATTAGGTAATGTGAGAAAGCGCATCATAAAAAGACTTGCAGCTGTGTGAAAAAGAATATGCCAGGGAAGGGTGTCAGTGCAGAGCTGACAGGCCTAAATGAAAATGAGGATTTTATGCCAACCTCATATATAAGGATGACTTATTTAACATCAGTGGCTTTGTTATGGATATTTATGATATGCAGGTACTTTAGAGCAGATGTGATTATTAGAGCTTATATGATGGGATTGATGATATGTGATGTGATTAATACCAATGCATTTATTTAAAGGTGTACAATAGAGAATGGTCATGTTTCGATTCAAATAAAATCAAATCAAAATTTTTTTATTCAATATAAATGAAAGTACATATAGTTGAACGTCAAAAGAACTACTGCCAATTCACAAAAACTAGTCTCCGTCCTGAGAAGAATTGGCAAGAAACTCAGCGGGCATGGGTTGTTTTTTTAAATATTAGTTTTTTTTTATATATTTTTTTATATTAGTTTTTTTTATATAAATAAGCAAAGCTTTTACGTATTTTCGGATACTAATCACCTTTTTGTAAATCAAATAGTTTGGTGATTCCTCGGGTGAAGGTATTGCAGCCATAAGGGCCTGGACGCTCGGTGGCAAGTTAGTAATGGCATTATCTCGCTTCTCCTTGTCTTTCTCTTCTTTAACACACTTCGAGTTATTCCTGTAACAAGAACCATTTATATTATAACTAAACAGAACTAACTACAAATGTGTTATCATAATAAACAAACAAATCAATATTACAAAATCAATAATGACCGACATACTTTAAGCTTAGCTGTTACGAGGAAGAACTAGGTGCTATGCATCAAATATGCTAGTGCAATAACAAAAATTTATATTCGGTGATTAGCCAAAGAAATACTTTCTTTGGTTACATAGTTATCACATAAAAACTGAGTAATTTCACTAGTCTTACAGATGTATTTGAAAATTTAATTTCATGTTTATCATTTATATTTGAATGGCTAATTACATGTATAACATCGTTTTAGCTGTGTTTAATAATTATCACAAGCTATTATTTTTTAATCAACGAAGAAACAGAATATCGGCTGTTATAAAAATTGTTTTATAAGTTGAAAATGTTGCTTTAAATTTAGGATTTTACAAACCTTGATGGACCTTGCTGACAGGGCTTCGGCGCCTTTTCCGTAGTATTCATCGTAACCATTTTCATTCATTAACGACGAAAAACAGTAAAAACAATTAGAACTTTTTAGTATGCCTTTTTTTTGTTTCCAATGAACATTACATACTTTCGGAAATTATTTTGAGCACTTCATTCGTTTCTCGATCAAATATACTATTCTGAGGTGCAATGTATTTGTCTGGTGGCTTTATGTTATTAAAACTTTAAGCAGAGAAATTTAAAAATTACAACAGAGCATAGAAAGATATGCTTAGTGCATTTTTACGTATGAATATTATATGATAAAAATTATGATTTATTGCAACAATATTTGTTTTTACGTTTGATAACAAAGTCTATTATGTATCTTTAGTCGTAACACCAACGTTTTCACACAATTTCTACGAATATTTCCATTATGTTAACCACAGCCACTGGGTCAAGTTATTTTTCCACTTCACGAGATTCTACAGCGAGTATTGAATGCGAAACACTTCAGAACCTTAGCCAATAGTAAGTGAAATTAAAATTTAATCAATATTAACTACTACAGCACGAATTTATTATTAAATTTTAATTTATTAAATAAATATGTACACAATCTAAATCTCTCTCTCGCCATTTGTCAATTTTTTATTTAGAAAGAGACAAAATTTTAGTCGCCTTTTTTAGAAAGAGATAAAACATAGGTCTCGATTTAAGTGTGCAAAACTAAAACGTTAGATCGTCATTGATATTATAGAAAACACACGACCAATATAATTTGGTTACATAGCATACCTACATAGCGCATGTGTTGACCGCAGTTATTGAACAGTTGCTATTTTTAGCCTGACAGGAAACTTGACTTGCATTTCCCGTAGTATTATAACTGTATTCATAATTACATTGAACGAAAACCATTCAAGACTAATTGAGCTGCTAATTATTTCCTATGAGTTTGTTGAGATGTTTTCTAATTGTTTAATTCCGCGTTGTTTTGTTTTAAAACGTACCGATAGATGGCAGTACACGTGACAAGTTTTAATTATATCAAATTTAATTTCAAAAAATATGTATATGAATACTTGTTAATACTTCTTCAAACAGCAAAGAAAGAATTGTTTCTACTAAACTAAACTAAACTTTATTTGATAGACATTAATATTGAGCGTTGAAAACAAATCTTTATTTTAATAGAATAATAGTCTTAAAAGCATTGTTGTTAAGTATCAAATTGTATTGCATTCAATTGCCACGCTCTATCTAGTGTCCAATTTAGTACTATTTACGACATGCTGCGTTAGTGTACCAAATTTTAACAAAGATGGCAATAATTTAATAAACACAATCATTGTTACTAAACTATGATAATGTTACACGTTTAGGGCTCGATATCCCATTTATTGGAACGAAGTTCCTTACGGCAGGCTTGGAGGGGATAGGGATTTTGCTGCGCGACCGAACTGAAAAAAATGTGATAGTAAAACCGTAAGAAAAAATCCGTGGGAAAAAGTGCGTGGAAAAAATCCGTGGAAAAAAGTGCGTGGAATAAAACCGTTAAATGAGACGCGCGACAGTCGTATACAAAAGCGAGTAGTGTATAATAATACCTTTCTCTTTCTCCCTCTTTCTTTTCGTTCTCTCATCCCTTCTCTCTCTATTTTGTAATTATTTCTATTTCTATGTAATTTTATGTTGTCAAACAAAAATAAAGAGACATATTTTGTTATTTTAATTGATAATTTGAATTACGATTTTATTTTTATTTTACGTAATTTATTATTTCCTAAAATACTGAATTTTCTAAATACTTTCCTGTACTTAAATAAAAACTAATCAGCAAAATTTAAGAGAAAAATCAAGAAAACCAACATAAAATTGAGCACGATTTTTTTTTGCAAATTGTGTCGATTCTACATTAGCCGAAGGAACTTCGTTCCTACCTGGTGTCCCACGACACCACATAATTAGTTTTATTTTCAAAATTTGATTAGACAGGTCAGGAAGATATATTTTTTTTATGATTGAAGGATTACTGGTGGCCCGGCGGCCTTTCCAGTTTCACCAGCACAGGTGGGCGAGCAAAGGCTCAGCCGGAAGGGGTGGGATTTTCTAACAGCTACCCGAGCGCCTCCGAAGGAGACCTAACAGCTCAAGAGCAGCTGCTTCGCGAATGAATCTACTACCGGATCGGAATCGCGACCCGCTGAGAAGATCCGGCGAGAAACTCAGCGAGCTGATTCATGGGTTAGATTTCACGGCGAACTCTTTGTCGAGTTCGACGAGTACGGCTACCGGGGTCCCTAAGCCTGCTCCTAGTGTTAGAGCTGAAGGCGTCTAATGCAAAGGTTATTGGATCTGATGGATCCGTAAGGACGTGTCTAGGGCAAGGTATTATTTGGAGACATTTAATGTATGTAATGCTATAGTCGGAACTACCGCTTTGACCACTTCATCCATAGAAAGATATTGATCGAAGGCCAAGATAGATTTAATTTAATTTTAAACTCTTAGTGGCTTAATCTGTAGTAGACATGAATTTGATCGTTTACCCACCGTTATTTTAGCTACTTTTACGATCCAATCTCGTTTTTTTTTATTGTCATTACATTCGAAATCGTTGTGGCCTAAGGGATAAGACATCCGGTGCATTCGTGTTGAGCGATGCATCGGTGTTCGAATCTCAGGCGGGTACCAATTTTTCTAATGAAATACGTACTCAACAAATGTTCACGATTGACTTCCGCGGTGAAGGAATAACATCGTGTAATAAAAATCAAACCCACAAAATTATATTTTGCGTAATTACTGGTGGTAGGACCTCTTTTGAGTCCGCGCGGGTCGGTACCACCACCCTACCTATTTCTGCCGTGAAGCAGTAATGCGTTTCGGCTTGAAGGGCGGGGCAGCCGTTGTAACTATACTGAGACCTTAGAACTTATATCTCAAGGTGGGTGGCGCATTTACGTTGTAGATGTCTATGGGTTTCAGTAACCACTTAACACCAGTTGGGCTGTGAGCTCGTCCAACCAACTAAGCAATAAAAAAAAAAAAAAAAAAAATTCGAGTAGCTACTGTACTTGAAGTCCGTGACAACGAAAACTGTTATATAAAAATAATAAAAAATGCGATATTAAACATTAAAAGTGTTTTTAAACGTGTTTATTACGCCCGAAAACTGAAAAAAATATTAATTATGACACGTATGGTACACACCTAATATTCGCCCTAATAGGTACATATCCTAACTAAAGAATAAAAAGCTTTCTAATATATAATAAGCTTTAATTCGGCCTATTAATTTGACGTGTTTTTTTTATTAAAACTATACGATTAGCAAAGGAGCGTTTCAGGCAGAAATAGGCAAAAAACGCCTTAAACAAAACATAAATAGGTACACAGCAACAATATAACGCAAATGTCACTAAAACTTAATACACATAACAGGAATATGTATTCCGTAATATGGTATGTACCGGTTTTCGTCGGAATTTCAAGGTTAACAATAAAAGTGAACGTTGCGATGGCGGGAATTCGATGACGTTTCACTTCGCAGCGAACCACAGTACTTATATCACTTATATACTCACTTATATATTTGGGCGTACCAAGAAAACATAACGAAGAATAAAAGGCTATTTGATTTACGTGACATTTCGCATTATACCTGACATTTATCTAAGTATTTAAAGTAATTAAAGGTGATTTTTATTCGGTATTAGTATCAACAGTTCGATGTTTTTAATTGAACTTCAATTAAGTTTACTAGTAAGATATATTTTTTAAATAATGCATAAAAGATACATTAAATCAATAAAGAAAACGTTATACACACTACCATGCATTTGACACACACACGCATGCATATAGTAACCGGCAAACTTCTTGAGCAAATGACCTTGACTGCGCAGAACCGAATTTTAGATCACTTTGGTGGTGAGGGTGAGGCGCGACGGCAGGGGAAATCGTATCGAGCGCGTTATTGGTAGATCAGTCGAACCTTACGCCCCGCACCGCGCCCTCATTCCGCTTGCTCCCAAAAGTACGCTTGCGTACAGTGGAAAGTCTATCGTTATTAATCGTTAAGTTATTTGTTATAATTGCTTGTGGACTTTGTTCCCATTACTGCCATACCATTTGTTGAGTGTTTGTTGTTTTTTTATAAAACATATATGCCGTGACAAACTGGTGTAGTATTCAAAAGAAGGGGTAGAAAATTTGTGTACGATGTATATTGCTTCCTTATAAAACAGGGGAAGAATGATATGGAAAAAATTAAAACAGACTTCGAAAGCAACAAAAACATCAGTGAGTACTGTTAGGTGCATTATTAACGAAGCTAAAGGCTCTGGCTTGCTCGCCGTGTTTCGGACTCCGGGTAAGAAAAGATCAGGGAAGAAGAAAGTTACCGGAATGGATAGTTTCGTTCAATCTGTAATAAAAAGATGTAATCATAATAACTACATAACAAGCAGCGAAACTCCGTACCGNGTGTTTCGGACTCCGGGTAAGAAAAGATCAGGGAAGAAGAAAGTTACCGGAATGGATAGTTTCGTTCAATCTGTAATAAAAAGATGTAATCATAATAACTACATAACAAGCAGCGAAACTCCGTACCGTAGAAAGGCTTCGAAAAATTTAAAGAAGATATAAATTTTAATGGCTCGGAATGAAGCTTACGACGAATTATGAAAGAGCTGGGCTTCAGATGGAAAAAAAGAACAGAAAATAATCGGAAGCTGGTAAATGAAAAAAGTAACATTCGATTACTACGAATCGAATATCTTCAAAAAATAATTAATTATAGACAAAAAAGAAGACCGAATCGACTGAGTTGTAAACTACGCCGATGAGCCATATGTCTACTCATCACGATGATAGCGACTCGGGTGATGAAAACAGTGATGCTGATGATGATCAAGATCATGATAACGAAAAAAAAATTACAAATACCAGCTTCGCTTCAACTGAATCAAGACCTGGCAACAGCTCTAGTTTTGACTTAATAGAAGGAATATCTATTTTACCCCAAGATTAAATTATTACAATTATTAAACTATATGTTTTGTTGATGTTCTAATAAATATATAAATAAATACATATGTTGATTTTAATAATTTAATAGCATTATGACGCAGAGTAAGTAATGTTTTTGCACGTGAGTGTACCATGCGCGAACTTACCCCCACTACGTCAACAAATGCTCCAGAAGTTTGCCGGCTATTATACTATTTATTTATGTCAAACTTTTGTTCTTGACGTCTGTGGTCAAATTGAGAATAGATTATGTATTGTTTGTCTTTATTAATATTTTTCTATAGTGTAATCTTGGCGAAATCTGTGATTATAGAAGTATAATAGTCTTTGAAAATAGAATCATAATAGTGTACAAACTTATAATTTCAGTTAATTATAGTCTAATTTTGACTACCGGGTGACCGGGTGTACATTTAAAATCACGAATAAAATTAATCGTATTTTGTTTTTTTTTTTTATTCTCAAAATAACTTAAAATATGATATTCCAATTTTGAAACATAAATCGAATTTTGACGTGTGACATTCTTATTCTTTACCGCCAAATTTTGTTTTGAATTTTTTTTTTCTTGAAGCACACGTTGTTTCGCTTGGA